ACAACATATTTACATTCAAAGCTTCTATTGAGATATTAAAATTAAGCTTTGAATGTCTGGCATCATATTTAATGACACCATTACCCTAAAAATATAATAGTTTTTTGGTAATACAGCCTATAAATATGTAGTTAAGATACTAAAACACTTAAAGGCTTGGCTTTCATTTTCACTTTCAAACAGGAGCTATTTCACAGCACAGAATATGCTGTTTTGAAAGATATCTGGAGTAAATTGATGTTTTTGCCATCAGAAAGTTTTGTTTATGTTAGCAGGAAGTTGCTAGGCAAGAAAATGCACACATATTTAAAGTCACAGCGAAAAGTATCAGACATGCATGCAGTCATTAAGACCAATATGGTAATTTAAGGCAGAAATGCTCAGTTCTTTACTGTTTTGTAATAAAAAAACAATGTCAGAAAGAAATACACTGATAGTTAGAAACGGCAGGGTGTTATAAATATGTTAGTTTTATTTCAAAGAGTTATAAAATTACAAAAATTAAAAACTCTGTGCATCTATCCACTCAAACCTTGCAGATGAGTGATTAATCTGCTCATAAATCAGCTGATTTGACGATGTTTTTAAATGCTTCCTCTAATGCTTGAAACGCTGTCAGTGATGTCATCAGCACACAAGCAGCCAATAGTGTTCAGCTTTTTTCTGACGACTCCTCCCTCAAATTTTCATTGGCTGTGGTTTGGAAGCTTGAATGAGCTGATGGGGAATGAGTTGTTGTCAGATCATGTAGTGTGTGACCCCCCTCTTGTGGATCGTTCACGGAGTGTTGCGTAGTGTGAACACCACAGAGATCAAAAGACACAAAGTCAAGTCATGTAGTGTGAACGGCACAGCGATCTGCTGATGTTTAAAATCCTGTAGTGTGAACTAGGCTTTAGGCAGACCTCCTCATTCCTGCAGCACGAGAGCTTTATGATTATGAACGCCAAAAGTGGCGGATCTGGCGAAATATCTGACTGGGTGTCACTGCATCCCTAAGGACTGTTTGGCGAAATATTTGACTGCATATCAAACCGACTGTCACTATATAACTAGAGAAATCTCCACTGTGCTGCTGAGTGACAGCGCTTCTCACTCAACAGCACAGCAGCGATGACGTAAGCGCGCCGAGGCCCGATTGTGGTGTGAGTCAAATCGATTGTGGTGGTTCGAGGCAGCTGTACCTAGTGTGAGTATGGCCTCATTTGCTGCTCTTCACTTGTTTGATAACAGAGGTGTCACAGCTGATCTGGGATCAGTTTATCATACGGAGCGCGTTCGTATGTCAGCGCATATTCACTGATTCAGAGGTTGCATATGAGGGGAGCTGATCGACGCACAGCTTTTATGGAAAGAAAGTGAATTCAGACAGTTTTATATCAATTTCAACAGCCTTTCAAGATTAAAAATATGAGAGAAATACGAAAAAAAAAACAAAAAAAAATCGAATAATAGGATATAATGTATGGGACAATCCCGGCCAAAACAGGAGGGTTGTCACAAATGAAGTGAAGTGTTTGTCGAGGGAACGCAAAACATCTTTGCGATGGAATGCAAAAACTTTAAAAAAAAATGTTTACCTATCACTCGTTTTTTTTTTTTTCCCCCCCATTTTTTTTTCTCCACCATCACGTCCCTTCCGGGTCTCCGTAAATATCATTGAGAGCCGTAGGTAAATATACCAAACTATATTACATTAAAGTTGCCATGGGTAATTTCAAAATGTATTCAAATTTCTAAATATTTCAAAATAAATAGAAAACATTTATTTAAATCATATAAACTAATGAAGTAAAACGTTTTAAATGATAACATATTGCATTAAAAACAATCGCATTTAGAACACAGTGGAGTGAAAACACTAGTCAAGCAGAATCTGCCTTTGACTTGATTTGGTCACAAAGCTCCAGCATTTTTGGGTGCCAGCATGTACTTTTAATAAGCTAAATCTCATTTATTTACACCATTCAAACATTACAGTTCGCTTTAACATTAAAACAAACAGAGTTACATTACATTTGAATTGACAAAATCAAAATCATCTCCCTCTCTTCTCAGATGGAATGGAGGACCAAATCAAAGGTTGCCATGGGCCAAATTTGGCCCGCAGGTCCTAGTTTTGGCATCTCTAAATTAAACCATAAGGTCACAAAAGGCCTATCTGAACATGTTAATACCAGGTGGAAACTGTACAGCTTGGCTGTCCACTTATCAATGGATTACTGAAAATGCTTGTTAACACAAGGTTAAATCTCTTGGTGTGTTTTTGTGGTAACAAAACAACATTTAAACGGTAACCGCAAGTGTCTTTAATGTGGCTGGTATTAAAAATTAATAATTTATTCCATAACTCCAGTTTTACAACTTGCATTTGGTACCTCCCGGGCATTAATTTTGGTCCTTGAGCATAATCAAGAAAAGACATCAGACTCATAATAAGTTTTCAACTATAAAGTCTTTTAATGATCATTACAGAGCGAAACGCAGTGAACAGACTGGTACAACAACGAAAACAAAACAAAAGAGAAATCTGGAGCCAGGATTGTACATGTCAGTCAAAACAGCAGGCATCTCAAGACATTCTGCTTTTCACACTGGTGTTACAGTTAAAGTGGACCCTCGGCGTTTAAGAAACATCGAGAGAACAGCAAGAGAAATCCCACGTTTTTCAGTCCCATTCAATGACCAGCAGACATTTCGGATTTAGGAGACAGAGCTCCAGATCGAAATAACAAAAATGAAAAAAGAAAAATTTATGTAAATGTGCACCCGGTTTATTTTTAAACACCATCCACACGCACCCCACTGCACATCTCAACAAATAAAGTGAAAGTGGAAAAAAAATAAATATTTATTTTTAAAAACTCAAGGCACAAATATGAATACTGCAAAAATGTAACACTCGACACATTACAGATCTGTAATGGTGAATAAATCTTTTTTTTTTAAACTCTCTATCTATTGTTTGTTGTATTTTCTGGATATTTTCTGACAGAATGGAGCAGCTATGAAAGGGCTGGAAAATGAGATGATATGAATGCAAATTAGCGGACAGATGACAGCACTGAAAATAAAAGCTTCCCCAAAAAGCTAAATGCCAGAACCAAACACACCAGAGCAGTCTCACTCACAAGTACCTTTCTCCTTTAAAAAACAAAAAAACAAAAAAAAAAGTTATAAAGTTATGTCATGAAAATGGCGTCACCACCAAAAACAAACTAAATAAATGACCTAAACATTCAATATTCATATTGCATCCCACCATACTTTAAGAACAAGGTGTCATTTTCAGTCTCAAACTTTGCAACCAAGCACTTTGCAGCAGTGCAAAAGCTAATGATTAGAGCAATCCCTAACAGCCCTGTCTGATAATAATGAGCACAAGACTCCACCATTAATCCATTTCCAAACTAAAGTGCGGCCTCACGCCTGGATAAATAAGAAAACAGTGCACTGTGACAGGTGGAATGATACTTGTTTATTTGAACACTCTGAAAACCATGTATGCCACACTTCCCCTCTTCAAAAGCTTATACTCCTTCTAAAACGCCTCTATTTCTACGTCAAACACCCAACAAGTTGTTATTTCTCACTAGCCACTTCAACACAAACACGGGGTGCAAGCCAACTCACATTTGCTCCAGCTTTGCCTAAATTTTGTTTATGTAAATGGTTGACCGTGTGCAGTGGAAAAGCATGGTGAGTTTTCCATGTCATAGCCTAGAGCTATCCTCTCATATTAAACTGCATATGTATGCAACATGTGGTCATGACATACACAGACTCACCCATACAGAAACAAACAAGTCACTTTTAGCGACCGGATCAAACGTTTATATTGAGCTACATTTCAACATACAATGCTAAAAACAGTGGGAGAGCGAAAAAGCAGACTTTGGCACCAGTAACCTCCATTTTTATATTTATATTACATCTGGTTTATGAAATAACAAGAATTTTTAATTCTTGAGTTGGTCAAATGGTATTTGTAACCCGTAACCACAGTAAACAGGTCTGATTAGACCCAATTTTAAGTCTGATTGTTTAAAAGGAGACTGTAAACAGCAGACTGAGTACTGGAGATCACGTCGGGGTCACCACAAGAGTAGTAAGACTGTACTAGGGTTTTGCAAAGCGTCCATTCAGAAAATGTGAAATGAAAATATGCAGATGGAAAGAATCTACAAAAGCAAAATGTTTTGTGAGCTGTGAGTGTCTCAACTTCAAGAATTAGAAGTCCAGTTAATGCCGCTGCTAAAATCTCTCCCTCGATGTGTAATTCTTCAAGTGGACACAAACATACATGAGCGCGCACAGACAGACAGGATGTATGAGAGGACATGAAACAGCAGTTTTAGAACACGTATATAATAACTTAAAAATAAAAATACACAAAATAAAGCAACTTATGGTACAACTCCAAAAATTAAAATTATATACAAAAAAGGCAAACATAAACCAACCAATAGTCTTCCAAAAAAAGATTTCCAACAGCTTGTAATGCTCGAAACTTTAACAGCATAAAGTTGTCATGGCCCAAGTGTGCTCCGAATGCCATTCAAGGGCAAACAATGCTGTCGCCCTCTCATTTTGGCCCTACGGGAGCACAACCTTCACACGGAGAGCTACGCACACAAACAAAACAAAACAAAACACAAAAACACAGGTTGAAATACACGCCAAACCCAGTAAAGGGCGTTTTGGCTTTAGCAGCTACAAACCCGATTGAATATCAGGTCCTCCTGCGAACGACCTGTCTCGTAAACACCTCGCTATCGCTTCAGTCACATCTACTGAGGAGTGCACTTCAAAAAGCAAGATGTGAGAATGATTATGCTATAAACAAAAGCAAAGACGGAAAAAAAAAGACATTCAATAGGACTAAAGGTTTAAGACACCAAATAATCATGTAACAAAAAATAAATTAAGGCATGCAGTAGGTGATGATATCTGATGTTGGTTTTGATTTGTTGTCCTGCATTCTACGGTCATTGCTGTTGTTTTTTTTTTTTTTTTACTTTTTTTTTATTTATATGTCTGTAGTGTCCCACACCATTGAAGATTTTTTTTTAAAAATCACTTAAAATGAACAAAAACAACTAATAGCTGCCAGAAAAGAAGAGTGTTTCCATTGGAACCACAGGCGTCTTTTAGGGGACAAAGCTAAAGCATTGTTTAAAAGGCCAGTTATTTACAGGGTAGTCTGGGTAATTCATGCAACTTGTCAGCATTCTGTATAGCCATGGGACTGTTGAAAAAAAACAACCATTACACACCACCAAGGTGAGATGTATTCCATAAGATTACAAAAAAAGGTGAAGGACAGTTTTAAAATACATCCATTTAAACTGCAATAACATCATCTAGACAATTTCTCTTTAAAAAAAAACGGTAGATATGTATATAAAAAAAATTTGATATTAACAGAACATGACAAAAATGTCTATTGGCGTCAAGTATATAGTGCTGTTGCAATGTAAAACCAAGCTTTCTACAATGTAAGCACAGATGACTGGATCTAGCGTTTGATAGCCTATAAAATTCAATTAAGGCTTCGCAGTAAACATCTGATTCGTTGACGCTGGCACTCCCCACCTCTTTTTTTTTATGTGTTGCGATCGGATTCGCTAAAGCCAGCATGGACATAGAGAAACATGCAATTGAACGGACGCAGTCACGCTAGTACACTTTCACAGATATGATCCAGTAGATCCGCACGCGCGCACACACTCACGTCACGCAATTAACTGTGCATTAGGCAGGCCTTTGCCCTCGTTGCTCCTGTTTTTAAGGGCGTTTGGCATCGATACATCACATTTTCTGACTCGAGGGGCGGGGAAGGATTGGTCACGCTGAGCCTGTCAGTACTCTGCAATGGGGGCGAGCTCAGGATTGAGGTTGACTGTGATGTTCTTATACAGGTTGCTCAGAGAGATTTCCGGAGAGTACTGCAGATTGTTCAAGCCGTCCAGATGCTGTCGCTCTTTGGAGTACCTCAGCAACTTGTACCTGAGGGGGAGGGCGAGATGAACGCGAGTTAGCATGTCCTTGAGATAATCTGCTGGAATATGTAAAGATCTCTGCGCACGTATGACTGCAAATATGTTTTTGCCACACACGGGTCAATCCACTCTAGGTTAAACAGCAAAAGATGGATACAAGTTTTAAGGTCGGGTCAAGAGTATGCGGGTCAGAGGTAAAGATCGAACAAAGATGTTTTCTACATTCGTATCTTAGTAGTGCTTGAAGTCCTAGCTTCCTAAACAAAGGGGGGTGTTGAAGAAAGTGGATCAGTAAAAGGCTCCTTCACATGATGTTTGTTTGAACAAAAAGGCACTTCCTCAGTGCAGTCAACCTAACAATGTGCTAAGCAAGCAGTTGGTGTTTTTTAAGGGGGGAGGGAGGGGACGGTGTAAGGTCAGGCTTTTCCACCCACTAGAACTGTTTTGATGCCAGAAATTTACAGGTAAAGATAAGTAAAGGTAATGGATTTAAAAAAAAAAACAATGCAAAAATAATATTATTCCTACTAAATTAATTTAGATTAAATCATTGATATTCATACACAACAGCTCAAAAATTATATTAACTGTTTAATTTGTATCCTAATTTTTACACAATACATATAACACATGGTGAGAATGCAAAGTCTCAGGTGTCATTTAAGAGCTCTTACAAGAGTTATGTAAGAGTTATTAATGAATTCATTTGACTTAACTGGATTCATTTTGCAGTTGAAATTAATAATAAAAAAAATGTTGACCCATGATGAACCACGTCAATACTAGGTGCTTTTTGTTTTTGTTCAAAAATCTGCTTGCTAGATACTAGCATACACTGGAAAAGAAATCTTTATTATTTAGTATGCAAGGATTATGTAAATTACAATATTATAATATGCTTTTTAGGGATGCTGTGCAAATTAAAATGTAAATATGTTTATTACAGTAAAATTAAATAGGTAACACTTTATAATAACTACACACTATGAATCTTTTACTAAGCATTAGCATCCAGTGAATTCATTATTTGTTAAGCATTAACTCTACATTAATAAGCAGTTTATAACTGCAGCTACAAATGCTCTATTCTTGACTTATAAGCACCTATATAATGCGTTTAAAAATTGTATTTTCATACTTAGTTAATGATTTATATTTCATTCCTAAATTAAGTATTGCATTATTTACAAACCAGTTGTATTCAAGAGTAGTTGAGGGTTTTTAGGATAATTCAAAATGAGTTAGTAAATGATTAATATACTATTGAAATCAACATTTATATATCTTATAATTCAGGCATATACTAATAGTTAACAAATATGTTAATAAATGCTTTATTAACTCAATTACATGCAGTTTTGTGACCTAATCTAAAGTGAGGACTATTCATGCTTTATAAATCCCTTGTAAATGACAAAGGCTCAGAATCATAAGAAAATAATCCTTGCAATCTTTTTTTAAAAGTAAAGTTACAGTAAAGTTCAAACATTGATGAATAACAGTAGTGTCAAAATATGACAAACTAGATAAAACAACAACAATTTAATAATTTAATAATTTACCAATATAATAAGATGCAATGTTTAAACTCTACAGTGGTTTTATTTTAGTAAAGGTTGCAAAGATTTATTTTTTATTTGAAGTACAGTTTCATTTGTGTATCTGTAAGTGAATAGTAATGGTGTCATTTTTTCTGTTTAGAATTTAACTGAGCCTTTATTTGTCATTTATAAGGGATTTATAAAGCATGAATAGTCCTCACTTTAGATTAGGTCACAAAACTGGATGAAGTTGAGTTAATAAAGCATTTATTAACACACATAGTAACCATTAATATATGCCTGAATTATAAGATATATAAACGTTGATTTCAATAGTTTATTAATAATTTACTAACTCATTCTGAATGATCCTAAAAAACCCTCAACTACTCTTAAATACAACTGGTTTGTGAATAATGCAATACTTAATTTAGGAATGAAATATAAATCATTAAGTATGAAAGTATAATTATTAAACACATTATATGGGTGCTTATAAGTCAAGAATAGAGAATTTGTAACTTCAGTTATAAACTGCTTACTAACGCTTATTAATGTAGAGTTAATGCTTAACAGATAATGAATTCACTATTTGCTAATGCTTAATAAATGATTTAGAGTGTGTAGTTATTATAAAGTGTTACCAATAAATATTAAAGTGATACATATCTGTCTGTAGCTTTTAAGAAAAATATAAAATGAAAACGTACTAATATATATATATATATATATATATATATATATATATATATATATATATATATATATATATATATATATATATACACATACATATATACACGCATACATGCATTGCGATATGCAGTTTAATTTTGTGATGACATTAGAATTCAATTAAATTGCACTGACCTTCCCAAGAACTGCACTTCTCCTCTGTGGTGATGGGGGATAGATTTGTATTTGCCAATATCACCTTCTGGCCTGGTAACATTGAAGCCTGCATAATGAACCCTGAAAAACAACAAAAACACACTGTTACAAATGGCCATGAGACGGTAACTGTTATATATGTACAATGTGGTTTGGAAAAGTCAAGGTTTTAAAACCTAAGGTATGTGGAACGGTGCTTTCACCTAAACAGGCAAAGTTTCTAAATGGACCAAAGTAGCTAAAACAAGTCACGTGTGAGTACACAGTTTATTTTGCAGAGTCCCGCAAAAAGGGGGGGGGGGGGGGTGTTGGTGTTTGACAGTGTGCGTGCGACATGACTGAAAAGCGAGGAGGGATGCGGTGGGCAGGGGTGTGACAAGGGTACGCAACGTATTTGAGGACCGGGATTGAGACCCGCGATTTCCGGGAGACTATCACCCGTTTGCGGCATCCGGGAGTCTCGGTGCATTTGCGGATAACTCCCGGTACTTCCCGCTTTACTCATAATTCTCTCTTCATAAAGCCGTATGCCTATTACATATCCATAAAACACTGTGATATAGCCGGGCTAGGATCGTATCGCTTTCTCACTGCAATCGATCTGCTCTAGATTTCGTTTCAATCGAGCCGAGACCATCTCATTCAGGCAAACTCAGACTGATTGTTTTGGCGCGGATCCGAGCGTGATTGCTGGATTCACATATGCCAAACGAACCACGCTAACTTGGCCAACGAGACAGGTTCCGAAACAAAAGTCTATGTCTAAGTTAACGATTCATTTGAATTATTTTGCCTGACAAGTTTACTGTTGCAAAATATTATAAATGTTTCTCAAAATAACATATTTTGTATTCAAAATGGAAAAAGTTTATTTTTTTCCAGAAATTTAAAAAGAACTTATTTTGTAGCAGTAATCACAATACAGTAAAACCATGATACTTGCATCCAAGGTTATCATACCATCAGAATCTTATACTGTCCCATGACTAGTTACAAATAAAAATATTGATTTAGACACCAGGTAGTCAGTGTGACAACAGCCAATCACATAACACTATACACTAGGGATGCTACGGTTCTCAATATAATATTGAACGTACGGTACGACTTACACTGTTCAATATGCACCTGTGAATTGCGGTTTTCTCTATGTTTCCATCGTAGTTTATGCGCATATATTCTATCGAAAAAAAGTTTATCCTACTCAATTATGTGCATGTTTTTTATGCATATTTTCAACAGTTATGTGCATCTTGACGTTACCATCAATCGTTTTTATGCACATATTCAAAATGAGCATTAAAATAGGTGGGTGGAAACGTAAGGCTAAGGCGAGAAATACCGCTTTGTCTCTAAAAAAGGGGAAGAGACCGACAGAAACTCAGAGTTTAGAGAATAAAACCTGCTCCTGACCAGGTTAGGTTCACAGAGTAAGTTACCACGGTAACTAACTCTGAGTTAAAGTTACCTCTCTTTCAGAATCAGGCTTGACTTACCCTGCATTCTCGAATTTAACAAACCTGCCATTTTGAAACAATAAACCCTGAGTTTCTCTCATTTCAGGGTTAAAATACTCAGAGTTTTCACTTAACCTTCTTTCTGAAACAGGCCCCTGGTCAACTGGGAACTTCTCGCATACTGTTTTTCCAAATCTATGAATTCTAACATGCTACTTAGCTCGCATACTGTTTTTAACGTACTATATAGTATGGAAGTATGATTTGCTGGCACCTATTGCCATTTGAGTTCATTATTATGGAATATAATTTAACTTGTTAAATATTAAAACGTAACATTAATTCCCTGTTAATAAAATAATCGCCATGCTGGTCCTATATTTACACACATACTAAGAAATCAAACAGAACCAACCTGTTCCAGAGGTCATCGTCCTCTCCTCCCCAGCCCCAGAATGCATTGGGAAAGCCATTGATCTTGAGAAACTGTTCAACAGTAAGTCCACTCACTCCACCAAAAAACTCATTGTAGGGAAGGCTGAAAACACACACAATATTTGACAGTCACTAAACTGAAGAACCACAACAAACTCTAGAAAAACCTTCTAAAACAAATTCAAACAAACAAAAGGAGAACAGAGAACACAAGAAGAAACTGAAACCTTACCATCAGGGATCTCTTGAAAGCAATAGGCAACAAAAAACAAGCCTTTTAATAGTACAGACTGTCATACTACTTTACAAGGTGATGAGGAGATTCAGCACACATTTATTCCTTTGCAGGCTGTCCACAAAACAGTTTTAGTTCCAACCAAGATCCACCCTAAGGAATAATTTTTCTTTTAAACCCGAGCATAGGAAAGCCGCACCATCGCATCACATGCAAAATAAGGCTAAATTATCCAGCTATTCCCAAACACTTCTGCGGAGCAATTATGGAAGTTAACGCATCCATATGCAAATCTCATGATCTGCATAACGGAGAATGAAAATCCCAACATTTATAGTCACTGATAATACAATATTTGCAAGCTGGTATCATTGAATATGTCACTAACTTTGCAAAACTACAGACAGAAACACATGCACTGGGCACTGACTCCAAGATGGAGTCTGTTAGAATGAAGTTAAAATACTTATTCTATTTTATATTTAAGACATGACATTTCTAGCATTTTATATTGGTGGTAGTTTCACACATGCAAGAGTATACATTTTTTTTAATGAATATAAGTGTACAAGCAATGCAAATGAGGGGAATAGAATAGTTCAGATTATTTGAACTTCACAATATCCCAAACCATGTTCAAGTAAAACATTGTGCATTAACACCGTGCCGTTCCTTAACCAAATTGTGATCAAATGAATTATGATCTACTATTTGAAAGAATGATTCAGTGAATCACTTAAAACAACCACCTTTCCTATTTATTTACCCATTATGGCCCATTTCCACTCAGTAGTATGGTACGGTTCGGTTTGGTACGCTTTTATGGCCGTTACTGTCAAAAGGCGTACCAAACTGAAACGTACCACTTTCGAAAGGATACCAAACACGAGAAAAGGTACCAAAAGGCGGATCTAATCGCGCAGCTGAACGCTATTGGTTTACAGAGAAACTCTCGCTTGCGCAACGAGCAAGAATGAAAACAAAAAACCCCGCCATGTTTAGAAGACAGTCGACAAGTCGAGAGATTACAGCGTAATTATATATACATATAATAACGAGAGATGGTCGACCAGGGTTCAAACAAACCTTGTCGTCTTCTTGATGAACAGCCACAAAGCCAAAAAGAAGAGCAGATTTGCCCCTTGCCCCTTAGTTTTTTTACGAGCCAGTCTATAGCGTGAGCGGTTTTGCTTTCTTGCTTGCACTCGCCGTGTGTCTATATCTGAAACATCAAACTTCTTGAGCTGACGATAATAATGTGCGCTTGATTATTGACGAGCTTTTGAAACTGATCCTGTCAGAAACTGACAAACACGAGAGTGAAGCGCAAAAAAACAAAAACAAAGGAGAAGCTGGAAAAAAAGGAGCACATTATTTTTTCAGCAAACATGAACAAACTGCCCTGTTAACCATTATGATCACCTTCTGGACTATTATGAACTCAGAATGATGGAATGACTCTAATAGAGGTTACATGTGCTGCTGAAGATTAAAGACACAGATGAGAGGTTTGCTTTGACTGAGGCCTATATGTTGTGTTTGAACCTATATAAGGCCTAAATGTCTGCTATGTATAGTTTTTCTGTAGTTGTTAACATATAGGAGACTGTAAGGGTCTGTATGTGTTCATATATGTTGCATTTATTTATTTATTTTATATAATTACAGACGTTACAGTGGGCTATTTCACACTATCATTGATCTGCAGTTATAATCAACTTGTGTTCATAGAAAAGTTAGTAATAAACATTTATAAACATGTATTTGTGTGTATAAAGCACCTTTTTGTGAGAAATGCTTCTCATATGATATGTGAACGACCTGTACGGATTTACTGTAGACATTTCCTCGATCGAAAATAACGTTGACTGAAACTTTCTGTAGTACAACACGCCCACCAAAAGGGTACCCTTGGTAGTGGAAACGCAAGCCTGATAAATGTGACCCGTACCAGTCAGTGGAAACGAGACATTAGAAACAATGAAAGCACAAAACCACACTCGGAAAGTATCAATCCACCAGCTTCAAAAGCATTTCTGTTCTACTTCACATTTGTGCAATTTCACAGCGGTTTACTGAACTTATGAAAGCACTAATTGCAGACCTGCATTAGTGACCAAACATGTCAGGATGTCTTTGAGAAACAGGCACTCAAACGCAGCTACTACAGGGAGTTTCTGGTGCTTAACATTGGCGAAATTACACAGACAATTTCCTGAAGCCCTCTAAAAGGATTTGAACAAACATTATGGTCTGGATGAACGAGAAACAAAAAAGAAAAAAACAAAAGACTCTCAAGCATGGCAGCATGAAAGCCTATACATAAATAAGTAGTTATCAGAAAAACAAGTTTAATTATAGGTTCTTCAGGAAACGCACATTAAAATCAATGCAAAAACACCCTAAATATTCAAGCGTCCAAGTCTTCTGTGAATTTGATAAGCTCTTATTTTATATACAGATTTTCTTTGACTAGTTTTATCTTAACTAAGCTGATAGTTTTGCATGCAAAAGTGGTTTAAAAGTTCTCCTCTTAAGATCAAGCAAGTAACACAAAGTATGCTGTGGTTCAAACTGATAAACTATATTTTCACACATTATTTTATACCAATTAATGGTTAGTTCACTGCAAAGTTAAACTACTGTTTAATTCAATTGGATCATTTGAATTGGAACTCTTTATTAAAGCATCATATAAAGCATTCTATGGAGCCAGATCAGTCTCAAAAACAATACATTTACAAAATAAAAGACTAAATACTAAATTCAAAACACAATTTGCAAATTCAAAACAGAATTCATAATTGTCCACAATATTTATGATTTTTTTCTTCAGATGCTTCAGAATGCAGCAGCACGAGTGGTCTATAATGAACCTAAAAGAGCACATGTCATTCCGTTGCTCATCCGTTTGCACAGGCTGCCAGTTACTGCTCGCATCAAATTCAAAGCTCTGATGTTTGCTTACAAAGCAATTTCTGGCTGCGCCCCTTCTTATCTGCTCTCACTTGTGCAGATTTACAGGCCCTCCAGAAACTTGCGTACTGTGAATGAACATCGCCTCGTGGTTCCATCCCAAAGAGGGAAGAAAACACTTTCCCGAACTCTCGCGCTCAATCTGCCCAGTTGGTGGAATGAACTCCCTAACTGCATCAGAACAGCAGAGTCACTCACTGTCTTCAAAAAGCGACTGAAAACTCAACTATTTAGTCTCCACTTTCCTTACTAATATGCAATTCCTTCTCTGACTCCTCCACTAACTACCAAAAAAAAAAAATTACTGTTTTGCTTCTTACATTTTTCTTTACACACCTGAAACTTGCCTACAGCACCTATTCATTGTTGCTTTTACAGTTGTGTAAATTGCTTCCTTGTCCTCATTTGTAAGTCGCTTTGGATAAAAGCGTCGGCTAAATGACTAAATGTAAATATCAAAGGTGTTTTTGTTGAATAGAGCGTAAAATATGGTGTTTTTAAGCACAATTAAAATTAAATTTAAAAATAATAACTTCAGGAAAAATATTTTATTACACTAATGAGAATATGACTGGAGGAAATTGCTAAAATAAACTTAAATAATAAAATAAAACAAAATTAAATTAATAAAATGAAAAAAAAAAAAAATATATATATATATATATATATATATATATATATATATATATATATATATATATATATATATATGTAATATAAAATGGTCATTTTAAACTATACAATGGGATGTAAAAACCAGTGAATTCACAAATTGTGTTTTGAATTTACATGTTGAATTTGTGTATTCATGAACAGTGTTTTGAATTTTTCGAATTGTATTTTGTATATGTGAATTGTGCGGTGTATGCATGAGTTTTATTTTTGCAAATCTATTATTTATTTCTGGTCTTTTAATGGAGAAATCTCTCAGATTTTATAAATATGATCATGTTTGTTTTCCGAAGACAAATGTAAACCTTATGGGTTTGCAACAACACAATGTCAGAATTAAATAAATTATTTAAGCTATGAATATTCTTAACATTTTAAACGTTTTTATTTACTTTTCTTAAATTTTAAAAGTTTTAACTTTTAATTTCATGAAAACAGATTCTTCTTTTTTTTTTATTTTGGCGTAAAATGTCATTTGGAACCCTAATAAAAACCCTCATGAACACTCCAACGAAACACAAACACTAGATTTATCCCTAAGGATCTGCAAGGGTCTACAGGCACTGGATAACATCACAACAGTTAATACAATTACACATACTTAAACTTGACAATGTGTGGTCTACAACACTAAAACTCTTCAAAACACAGTCTAGAAGAGTTCAAAAACACACACTATGAAAACAAACTGCACTCATCTTAGCTGCCTTAAAAACCTGGAGCAACTGGGCAATGAAGAAAATGAAAGTCAAACAAACAGAAAAAAAACACCAAAAGAATGAGAGTTAAAAGAAGAGAATAACAAAAATAAACCTTTGGCAATGCTTTCAGATGGCTGACTTACATGTACATGTATTTGTCCAGCTTGGCGGCGAAGTGTCGAGGCATCTGACCACAGCCGTAGTAATTACGGTCGTTTTCTGGAATGTGATCGACGTCGTGAAACACCACACAGTCCCAGTCCAGGTCTTTCATAGCCTCTTTAAAGCCCACGTTAAACAGCATGGCACGGTTAAACGGCTGAGTACCCGTCTGAAAGCACACAGACACATGACTGAAAACAGACCCAAACTAACAATAAGTGTTCTTTTATTTTACATGATAGGTATTAATAACTTGACAAACAAATACTAGAGGTGTGAACTTACACTGATTTCACGGTTTGGTTATGATTATCATGCCATCGATTCGGTTCAATCCGATGTCTCAGTGCATTGCTGATGCTTTCCATACACAATTTTATATTTTACTTCACAGCACAAGAATTGTTGTATTAAAATGTATAATTTTTAAATAGATTTTATATGTACAGTTGAAGTCAGAATCATCAGCCCGCCTTTGAATTTTTGTTTCTTTTTTAAATATTTCCCAAATTATGTTTAACAGAGCAAGGAAATTTTCAAAGTATGTCTGATAATATTTTTCTTCTGGAGAAAGTCTTATTTGTTTTATTTCGGCTAGATTAAAAGCAGTTTTAAATTTTTTATGAACAATTTTAAGGTCAAAATTATTAGCCCCTTTAAGCAAATTTTTTTTGATGGTCTACAGAACAAACCATGGTTATTCAATAACTTGCCTAATTACCCTAACCTGCCTAGTTAACCTAGTTCAGCCTTTAAATGTCTCTTTAAGCTGTATAGAAGTGTCTTGAAAAATATCAAGTAAAATATTATTTACTGTCATCATGGCAAAGATAAAATAAATCAGTTATTAGAAATTAGTTATCAAAACTATTATGTTTAGAAATGTATTGAAAAATCTCACTAAAAAGAAATTGGGGAAAAAATAAAGAGCGGGGCTAATAATTCGGACTTCAACTATTTGTATACATGGGAGAATTTAAATAAAATTTCTTACATTATCAGTTTACTCTCTATCGTTTTAGAAATAGGTAATAAAATATGGCAAGAACTTTCAAAACAAAATCTTAATAATGAAAAAATATGGAAATATGAATAGTGTACAATAATCAACCAAAATAATTCAGCAAATTCCAGTTTATCAACACTAGCAGCTATCAACACTTTGTCGTTTTATCCTTAGCCTAAATAGTTAAAATCTTTACATTTAGAGAGGCGAAATAGACTTATGCGCAAAACTGAAATATTGCATAAAATATTTGCAATTAAAGCAGTTTCCATCCAAGAAGTCATTATATATATATATATATATATATATATATATATATATATATAAATAAAACCTTCTCCTCAGAAAAATGCAATGAACACACTGTGGTTTTTGGAGATGTGAGAGCACTCTAAGGTAATAATACCTGCCCATTTTGATGACAGACTTCGGCTAAGGGATTTAAGAATTACCAAAAAAAAAAAAAAAAAAAAAAAAAAAAAATGTCTCACCATGCCCATTTTTGCCATCACATGATGTGCATGCTAGAATTTATTTGGTAAATGGGCTTCCATCATAGTCCTTACGCATTTTGATTGATTATTTTATCCTACTCATTTGTGTGCACAAGAATTTTATGCACATTTACAGAAATTGTGTGTATCTTGGAATCTCCAACAAGCATATTATTAAGCAATATTCCAAAATGTGTATGAAAATAAATGGATGGAAACATAGCTGATGTCATTTTACTTCATTTTGCTATTCTCACTTGCATTAATGAATTATAGTGTGCTGAACACAATCTTTTAAAAAGAATTATAAATAAATATATCTGTTGTCTGAATAATTTTGCATTTGACTGTATTTGAAGTTAAAAAACCTTGCTTTGCTCACCTGTTCAATGACATAAAAGGCAAACTGCAAGCGTTGGCGTTGGAGCATTGGAGTAAGGTGCTGAAATAGAATGGGAAGATGCTCATGGCGATTCCTAAAGGGGATTAATATGGCCACCTGAAGGGGATGAAGAGAAAAAAAAGTGTCAGACTGATGTCCTGATTGACCTGTACTGAACAATGAAATCACAACAGTGACTCGCCTTCCAGCGTGGTTTGCAATCTTTGGGCTTCCAGTGGCCTCCAAATTGAATGTCCATATGTTTGAGTCTCAGTTCAATCTCCTCCATAGGAACCTCTGTCATGTTGACATCCATCTGACCCTCTGCAAGGCAACACAAAAGAAAGAACTAAGAAAAGAGAAGACCAGGGTTTAAAATGAACACTTTTGAATGATTTAAGAACATTACCCAAACATGAAACTTTATGCATTTCACGGTCAGATAGACAATTGTTAAGTTTAAGCATGAGAAAAAAAAAGATGTAAAAAATGTAGCTGAAATAAGGTCTGAAAAACCACAGTGAAAGGGCCTGAATAAGACCTCTGAGTAACTATTGTAAGCTAGAATATTTGTTTCACAATTCTGTTCTTTTATTTACAGAAAACATTACAATGATTTACATTTTGTAAAGTCTGTTTAAGATCAGCTCAGCTGTATGCATAAGAGTTATAATATTCATGAATAGTTCACACCTGGAGAGACAAAAGACACTCCCCCACTGGCTAATGTTCACCCATCAAGGGAATTGTAAAGCAATGTCCATCTGCAAAAGCTAGCCCAAACTAAATGCTTGCTGTATTATGACCATGTAAGCCATGGGTGTCAAACTCAATTCCTGGAGGGCTGAAGCCCTGCACAGTTTAGTTCCAACCCTGCTCCAACACACTTACCTGTAGGTTTCAAACAAGCCTGAAGGACTCATTTAGTTTGATCAGGTGTGTTTAATTAGGGTTGAAACTAAACTGTGCAGAGCTGCGGCCCTTTAGGAACTGAGTTTGACACCTGTGATGTAAACACTATGGGTAAGCAACGTATGTGCACTTGTACAGGATGCATAAATATATATTTAAAGATGTATAAAGTGTATAGTTTCTGAATGTCTCCGATACACTGAAGTAGAGTAATGACAAAAGCTTTAAACACAAGAATAAATAACACTGTAAACATGAAATACAATTACATTAAATCAAAACAATATTTCTAAAACCTTATATATATTTTTTGCCCAAATAATTGCAGCCTTAGTTAACTCTTTCCAAAATTTGATTGGTTCACCTACGGTAAAATAAAATAAAAAATAAATTAAAAACTTGTATAACATTCATCACGTTCTGAATAAAGCAGCATCCGATCACAGTGGTCTCATGAGGTCAAATAGGTCATAATTCCAACTGAAAATGACCTTTCTAGCCAGTTCAGGCAGCCATCGTCATCAATTGTGTTAATGGTGGACATGGGAAGAGCCGGCGTGATGCGTGCTCTGCTGGGAGAATTCTATGGATTACGTAGCGAGTCAACATTTGTTTTCAAAATGAGTTGGAAAGTGTACCTTCCAAGCTTTATGCAGGTATGTCTCATGTATTGGTGGGGATTTCGCTGTTTATCTGACCACAGTTTACATTGTCGTGCGAGTCTCACATAGACGTTTGCAATAACAAAGCCTTGTGGGCGTGGTCGCATTAAAAATAATGAGCTTAGACTAAGAAACTAGAAATAGAGTTGGTTTCATAATGATTACTTTATCAAACATTATTTGTTTTCAACATGCACTCACTGCATTCAAAAGTAGACACTTCACATGTCTGTGCGTTTTGATTTCATGGTGTTTCAGTGCATTTTATTGACGCATTTCTAGAAGTTGTTCACAGAGAGACAAAAGAAAGAATGCGTGAACTGTTTATTTTCCTTATTTTGCAAAAGCACACATTTTTGTTGTTATTGTGGGTGTATACAAAAAAGTAGACACCTGACAGATTCGATTGATGTATTGCTCTTATCTGTATGATTAAAACTGACAGTCTAATGTAAGTTCTTTCGCCATTAGAAGACGCCTCAAACAGTGTATACAAGTTTGCAGACCCCAGAGTGTGTATAAATACCAAGATATGCAATCTAATAAGTAGTTAAATGTAAGAACTAATCAAAACCACAATTGTGGCCAAAAAAAATGTGTTTACTTTATATTTGTTTCCTTAATTGTATACTTACTTGAACAGCTCATCATTAGCTCACCAACAAGCTAACACCAAACTGTATTCAAATAACATAGACCAGGGGTGCTCAATGCTGTTCCTGGAGAACAAACTTCCTGCAGAGTTCAGCTCCAACCCTGACTAGAGTTGGGTACCGAACCGAATCAGCATGTGAACTCCGGTGCCACTGGTTTTGCGACAAGAGCATAAAGCAGGTTGCGCACGAGAAGCACCGGTCGGCAACACACAGTGTCACGCCACAGATTTTAGAATTTTCAAGTTAGCGGCTGTCCGCCAAGCCACGACTCAGGACACTGTTTATATTTCTGCCGCACAATAGAGCGCGATCTGAATAGTTTCATTTTAAATAACATGCGAATGTGCTGTGCGCACCTAGCCGCTGCTGTGAGTGGCGCATCCAGTGTGTGACGCCCTTAAGAAGCATCAAGGGGTGCATCAAAGGCACACATGAGTACGCTTTGTGTCAAACCATCTCGAAATATTTAATTCCAAACAGGTTTGAGGGATACGAATGTCAGCAATGTCAGGCATTTGTTCTTGTTACAAAGTGCGCAGTACGGTGCATGCGGTGAGCGACTCGCTTCATCAACACGCATGATCGTATTCATCTAATTAGCTTAAACTAAACATACTAAAGTATGGCTGTATTTTACAAGCAAGGATTCTGACACACCAACATGAAGTGGATGCTTTACAAAAGTTGTGTGTAAGGGGGGGAAACACGACAAACTTATGAAATGTGAGAGCTCAAGGAAGCAACTTAAAGGTGAGGAATGGACTGTCTTAAATGTTTTACAATTTTACATGACTTTTCAGAGCTCAAAGGATTTACCAAATTTAGCTCTGACCACACTAAAAATAAATAAATAATATTTCTTAGCCACAAATTTTAAATAATGTGTCAAAACAAACAAAATATAGCTGTATAGTATACTTTTTACTTAACAAATCATTTCTTAAAAAAACAGTTGACACTAGTTAACTACACATAAATGGGAAGTTAATATACTATATACTACTCAAATAATGATAAGGACATACTGAAAGTCTGTTCAAGGCCACCATAAAGACTATTTAGCATTTTAAGCACACATAGGCCTAATATTACTATTGTTTAACCATAAGTTTGAGAATTAACAATAATAATAGGCTAATCATGTTCCCTTTATTTTACACTTACAGAATCGTGAGAAAATCGTGATTTTGATTTTAAGCACAAAAAATTCTTCGACAGCTTGTGACATCATCTGGCACATTATCCGAGTATGTTTACATGGACACCAACACTCTGATTTTAATATGATTAAGACAATACTCTGATCAAGAGTCTACCACGTAAACAGTGATTTTTGATTATCTTAAAGGACCACAGACACAAACTGCGGAGTGACGGCTGGTGACGCAATGACGTTGATGGATCTATGTGCTAACATGTAAGTGGGAATCATGAATGTAACATTCAAAAAGCAACTCATGTAAACACCTGAATCATATGTCTTATTCAGATTAAGGCAAATCATTAGATCACTGATGTCCATGTAAAAGTAGTCACAAGCCCCAAACCCAGAAAAAAGGCGTTCCCTGATTTTGATGACAGCCTTTCCACAGGTTAGTAGTAAGCTAATGTAATATTAATAGCATAATGCCAATCTTTCATTCATGCTAACAAACAACTGATCAAGAGAAATATATTAACGCTATTCAAATATGAAAAATATTAATTGGTGTTTACTTTAAACTTAATATAAATATATTGTTCAATTATAATGATTAAAATAGATTTTTTTTTCAAATAATTTTGTGGCTAATAAGTAGGGATGTAACGGTATTGTAAATATCCTCATACCGCAATATTAATTTTTTTCGATATTACCGTAGTCGCATGACTCGGTAAAACTATAGATCTTCTGAGAAAATTTGCTCAGGCGAATGAAGCGAACGGGAGGTAGCGAAAACTACAATTCCCATCAGCCCAGGCTTAGCCATAATCCCTTGCGGTCTGTTGTCGCTACAGATCCAGTAATGCGGAAATGGAGTGTGCTGCTAGAAGCGGGGATCAAAAAGAGCTGGAAAACCCTAAAGCGGGTGTTGTCGCCGCGCGCGTACTGAATAACGGTGTTGTCGCGCGAGTTCTTATCAGCTGTGTTGTCGCGCGCATTCTGATAAGCTGTGTTGTCGCGCGCCTTCTGATAAGCTGTGTTGTCGCGCGCCTTCTGATAAGCTGTGTTGTCGCGCGCCTTCTGATAAGCTGTGTTGTCGCGCGCCTTCTGATAAGCTGTGTTGTCGCGCGCCTTCTGATAAGCTGTGTTGTTGCGCGCCTTCTGATAAGCTGTGTTGTCGCGCGCCTTCTAATCAGCTGTGTTGTCGCGCGAGTTCTTATCAGCTGTGTTGTCGCGCGCGTACTGTAAAGCGGGGACGGAGGGTATGTCGCGTCGCGGGGGCACTTTTGATCATTTTGGAAGGGAACTTTCTATCCAAGACTAAAAAGGGCATGTGCACTGCACAGGTTGAGCCCTGTGTGTGCACGTGCCTGCAAGTTGGGGAATACGACTAATAATTAGTCATGGGGATTGCAGAAACACAGCACACTGTTCAGATTGATGCAGACATGAGACCTCTAACGTTATCTTACTCATGGTTTGTCCTCTCAAGTGGGGGAAAGACAATGCACAACGTTACCCACTGCTGTCAACCTGGGCCAAGTCATATCTCTCTTGTCCCAGAAACCTCAGTCCCAAATGAGAGGGTTTTTTTCTGTTGCAGGGGACATTGTAAATGCCCAGAGATACCAGCTTTTACCAGATTATATTTATATGATAAGTTTCCTTTAAACCCATCTCTATCTAAGTGAGTGAGTGATTAAATGTTGAATGTGATGAGTTTTCAACACTACTAAATTGAAACTTAATTTTTTTACATGGTTTAATATTTTTTTGTTATTAAAATTGAAGTTCCTGTTTTAAAGCTTACAGATAGATGGCTAATTTGTATGTCATTGACACTTTTGGCACTTTTTTGGAGTATTTTCATAAGTTTTGTTTTTTCCTGTAAATGATTCAATAAATACCGTACCGTGACATTCATACCGAGGTATTACCGTACCGTGAAATTCTGATACCGTTACATCCCTACTAATAAGTATTGGTTCAGGCACCGGTACCTTATTAAATGTATCGATTTAGCACCGGTATCAAAATAACCCCAAACGATACCCAACCCCAACCAAACACAACTAAACCAACCGAGTAGGATCTGAAGGAGCACTTGGTAATTAAAGACAGGTGCTCTTGATCAAGGTTGCAGCTGAACTCTGCAGGAAGGTAGATCACCAGGAACAGGATTGGGCACCCCTGAACAAGACGAACACATTTCATTAGCTTAAAGCACTTACTCATAGAAGGTAACCGTTCTGGACAGGGCAGGTTCTGAGCATATGTGAAGTTCTCTGGGAGGTATGTGGTTGGCTGAGCGATATACTCGCTGGAGTTACTTCCATCTGGATAATCTGTTAAAACAAACACACAATAAAGTCAATGGCAATTGCTGCTCCCATTCCAGTTCCACAGTATTACTTATGACTGAAAAAAGTACTTTAAGAGGAGATTTGATTTTATCCATTGGGAATTAATTGGTCGATGAATTTAATGGAGCGAGTCTGAATGGGTGTGTCTAAACAGCTCTTCAGCTATTGTTTAAGATCATTCAGCAGCCTGCATTATATATGATGCTAGAGAAGCTATGCTTCAGAGGAAAACTACATTTCTGCATTTTGATTAAATATTCAACCAATGTTTCTTCTTTGGAAGAGTAATAAATACTTCACAGCGAGACCAGGGACATTCATTAAGTGAGAAAATAAGATGAAATTGACTGTGTGTAGAGGAACAGAATCTAACGAGCCAAAGGTTTACTTCCCTTGCTCGGCTTCGATCTGACTCGCAGAAAGTCCACAGGGTGTCATTTTTGTCATAAATCCACCATATATAGCATTTTTGTATATAGACAAAGTGCTTGCATTTCCACTGCCAAAAAGGTACCATTGTTAGAAATGTCAAAGTAAAGCTATGGGTTGTTCACATATCACAAGAAGCACTTCTCACAAAACAAATGCTTATTCACATTAACACTTGTGTATAAACGTTTATTACTAACTTTCCTATGAACATGATTTGCTTATAACTGCAGATCAATGATAGAAAATAGCCTATTGTAACATCTGCAATAGTATAAAATGCAACATATATGAACACATGCAGACCCTTACAGTCTCTGATATGTTACCAATTACAGTAAAACTACACACAGCAGACATTTAGTCCTTATTTGGCTTCAAAAACAAAACACAACTGTGATGGTCATTATTTAATTTTTATTTCTATTATCATATTGACGATCTGTAATTGAATCCCAATGGTCACTAGGGCTGCACGATTAATCGAAAAAAGGTCATGATCTTGATTCGACCCTACACACAATGTTAATTCAGCGTTTCCACGATTCAGCCCATTATATTTTAAAGGTCAGGAGAAAAGCAAGGCAGTCGCACAAGTCTTCACAGCAACATGGACACCTTCAAATGGCGTTAAAAGTGTCAAATATTGTATTTATGAGCAGGGTTTGATATTGACTTTTTTGATTACTAGCCAGTGTGGCTAGTAGTTTTCCAATATTACTAGACCCAATTTTGTTGTTGGGAAAATATATTTTATTTGCATAAATATGACTTTGACATGCTAAAATTACTTGATTTAGATTTTGTGTTATGTCCACATGCCTCATTCATTTCACTTTTTGTGTGTCGTGTATGAGCTTCCTCAGTGAGCATGAGCACAAGGGTCATGGTTTCATAGTGTTGTACTACAAGTAGTTTTTATTTCACATGACTTTTCAGAGCTCAAAGGATTTACCAAATTTAGCTCTGACCACGCTAAAAAATAAATAAATTGTATTTCTTCGCCACAAATTTTAAATAATGTGTCAAAACAAGCAAAATATAGCTGTATACTATAATTTTCATTTAACAAATAATTTCTTTAAAAAAAAACAGTTGACACTAACTAAACATAAATGGGAAGATAATATACTATATACTGCTCAAATAATGGTTAAAGAGAAAGCAACTGGTGCTGCTTATAAAAAGACCAATCTGGAGCTCTTGAAAGCAGCAGGATTGTGGGTGCATGAACAACACTTGTCTAGTCTATTTGAAAAATAACCGATCACATCAGTTGCGATTCCAGGCCCGGTTGTTTTTAAGCAAAGAAAAGCAACCGCGCATGTGTTTTAAACAGTCACGCGCATCACATCAGTCATCTATCCTCTCATTCAATATTCAACCGGCTTTCTTTTTTGAATAGTTGTATTCTGATATCATCATTTTACTGTGAATTAATAAACAGGACATATTGAAAGTCTGTTCAAGTCCACCATAAAGACTATTTAGCATTTTAAGCACACATAGGCCTAATATTATTGTTTAACAATATGTTTAAGAATTACCAATAATAATAGGCTAATCATGTTATCTTTATTTTACACTTACAGAATCGTGAGAAAATCATGATCTTGATTTTAAGCAAAAAAAAAAAAAAAATTTCGAGATTCACATTTTTTGCCAGAATCGTGCAGCCCTAATGGTCACCTAATGGAAAGCCATTCAAAAGCGCCTTGGATGGTGGTTCTGTCTCACATTAACTGTCATTGCAGGACTTTGGCATTGGCATTTTCCCGCACTGGAATTTTGACCAATCGATAAGCAGTTTAGGAACTATGTTCAACAACATCTGGCCAATGAGAAATGTGGATTTTGTCAGATGACTACATTTTGGTTCTTTTCATCCGGTTCGGACCAAAGCCAGCAGTGTGGTGTGAAAACCACCCAAAGAAGGCAGAAAATGCTACAATGTATCATTTAATGCCCTTGGTCCGGACCAAATGAAGCGAACTACAGATGTCAAAGCACCCTAAAAGAGCAGTCTCAACAGATATTAAGCAGACAGTCTACTAATACTCAAATGGACGATCAAAAAAAGTGTTACCAATATACTAATGGCCCGTTTCCACTGAGTGGTACGGTACGTCACGGTTCGGTTTGGTAAGCTTTTATGGCCATTTCCACTGTCAAAAGGCGTACCGAACCAAACTGTACCGTACCACTTTTTCGGGACCCTTTCGAAAGGGTCCCAAACACAAGAAAGGGTACCAAAAGGCAAAGCTAGTCGCGCAGCTGAACGCTATTGGTTTACAGAAGAGATACGTCATTCACTTACAACAAGCCAGAATGTAAACAAAGGACCCGCCATGTTTGAAATACAAAGTGAGAGATTACAGCGGAATTATATATTCATATATCATCGTCCTGATGAACAGCCACACAGCCATGGAGTAGAGCAGAATCTACCCTGTGCCTCGCAGTTTTTTTACGAGCCAGTCTGACGCGCGAGCGGTTTCGCTTTCTTCCTTGCGCTCGCCGCGCGTCTATATCTGAAATAACAAACATCTTGAGCTGATAATAATAACATACGCTTGATTATTGACATGCTTTGGAAACCCGATCCCGTGAGAAGCTGACAAACGCGGGAATGACATATTCAGAAAGAAAAGGACAAACGCGAGAGTGGAGCGCGGAAAAAAGGAGCACGTTATTTCTTCAGCAAACGTGAACAAACTGCCTTGTTTTAATTTTTATCATCATCTTTTGGACTAATATGAACTGGGAATGATGGAATGACTCTCTAACAGAGGCTACATGTGCTGCTGAAGATTACAGACACAGATGAGAGGTTTTCACTGACTGTAGGCTATACTTTGTGTTGTTTTGAACCTAATTAAGAACAAAATGTATTATATGTGTAGTTTTTCTGTAGTTGGTAAAATATCGGAGACTGTAAGGGTCTGTATGTGTTCATATATGTTCATTTATTTATTTATTTTATATAATTACAGACGTTACAGTAGGCTATTTTGCACTGTCATTGATATGCAGTTATAATCATCTTATGTTCATAGAAAAGTTAGTAATAAACATTTATACAGAAGTATTTATGTGTGTAAAGCATCTGTTTTGTGAGAAGTGCTTTTCATATGATATGTGAACGACCTGTGCAGCTTTACTGTAGACATTGCCTCGAGCGAGAGTGATGCGACTGAAACTTTGTGTCTTACACCACGCCCACCAAAAGGGTACCATTTATAGTGGAAACGCAAGCCTGATAAAAGTGACCCGTACCGACCCGAACTGTACCAGTCAGTGGAAACGAGCCATAAATGTTTTATAAGAGCAATCAAATATAGATAAGGTAACTTTTATTGAGCTACAGCATTTGGGTATTTTCATTTACACAATATATTCAGGCTTTATACAACTATCAAAAAAAAAAAAAAAACAGTTTAAAAGATACACCTATGATATTGATTATCTAAATGCTCATTTTATAGATATTAATGTTAACTTTGACACAAGTAAAGGCTGAATATATAAATACAATCTTTACAGATTTTATTATTGTTTTATTGATCATACATTTATATTAAGTGCAGGTTTAATTACTATTTATTATTATAAATATTACACCTTGTATATGGGAATTAGATGTGTGGTTTTACCAAATATACTCACGCAAAATATGCATTAAAAAACAAAAAGAGAGATTTGACATTCATCATGATAATTATCAATATGAACAGATTTTAGTGATATGGCATTCACTCTTACCTGTGCCGTTGAGTGTACTGTTCTTGTTGGTGTATAGTCTGATCATGTGACCAATGGTCCGCACATTGTCTCGCAACATGATACCCTGAGCCTGTACCATGAAGAAATATGTGTTGACTGAAACAGAGAAAGAAAAAGAGAATGAATTTCCCAAATGATGCAGAGAGGAAACCATTAAGGTGAACAGCACAGTGATCTCAGAAGAGAACTGCTGAACAAAACAAAAGCGTAAATCACAAATTCGCAAACATCCTCATTGTAAAAATAACTAGCAGGGCAGTAAAAACTGTAAGCTTTTATTTTGAATTCCATCCTCTCAACAAGAAACAATGATGAGAAAATGGCGATTATTTTGAAACTACACGAAGCTATCACTAAGCATCAATGGCTTTCTGTGGTTTCGCCTCAGTTCCTGTCAGTGTAATGTAGATTTAATTTACCCACTACAGCAAGGTTGCGTCAGCATTCCCAAGTTCAGATATGAAGAGAAATGAACCGAGATCAGCAGAATGTCTACCGATGAGTTTCAGCTGTGTATCTGAAGGAAAGCTATACCAAGTTTCACATCCTCCAATGGGAAAACTGTATAAGCTGCCAAGTGTACACCCATAACATCTGTGTAGACCATATAAATAAGCAAATGATCTTTTGGCTTTTGCAAAGAAGGTTTTCTTGTGTATAAAAGATAAGGCATGCAATCTTGTTCTCATAGGTACAATTTGATAAAAAAAAAAAAAAATCACTTGACATTTGTTTGTATATATTAGAGATTAACTTGAGCCAATAACTGTAAATGTTCTACTCTGTAACAGCTTGTTTTTTTAAACACCATGACGGATACTGTGAAGAATTTTCATGTCATGAAATAAAACAATCATAATTTCATGATTAAATGCAATCCATATTTAGAGTAACTTTTCTCAAAATGTTAACCCAATAATATTAAGTAGCATGGATTTAGTTCAATGGGACTAAATCCAGAACACTAATTTAATATCCTTCAAGGATAAAGGATTTTTACCAAGAACAAATTGAAATATTATGTCATCTTAGAATGGTCAGTTCGGAAATGGCTATAGCAATCAGGCTTTGTCAATTTAAAAATATGGGTAACACTTTACAATAAGGCTCATTAGTTAATGCATTTACTAACATAAACTAATGATGAGCAACACTTGTGCAGCATTTATTAATCAAAATTAAACATTTACTATTGCATTATGAACATCCAAGTCCTTGCTTGTTAACATCAGCTAATGCACCGTGAGCTAACATGAACTAACTATGAACTACTGTATTTTCATTAACTAACGTTTACTAACATGAACAAATACTGTAGTAAATGTATTGTTTATTGTTTGTTCATGTTAGTTAATGCATTAATTAACATTAACTTATGAACTATTGTAAAGTGTGACCAAAATATGTATTCAATTTATTAACATATAAATGTATTACTGCTTTCAGATCCATAGGGGTACAGCACAATTTGAGCTCTTTTGTGACATTATCTGGTTCCTCATTTCCTGTGATTCAAATTCAATAGTATCCATGTACCCATGTACAAATATTTAAATAAAGATCTTCAGCAGGTTACTTTAATAAAACTTGAAAAGGTCTGATGAAACTAGAAATCAATGTAGTCTCAAAAAAATATAGTCTAGTCAATTAAAATAGTTTTTTCAGATTTAAAAAAAAAATTTGTCTCAAAACAAAGTTGGTTAGGATTTTAGGCCTTCTAACACCTTGCCAAGGCCAACATCCCAGAAAAGTTGGCTGTAGCCAGTAAACGCATTGAAGCTACCATTAGCTGAGGTCATGGGTTCGGCCTTCTTTGACTCGGACTTCAACAAAATAGCCGTTGGGTTCATTGTGTTCCCTCTTGAATTATTTGCTTGGTTTTGTGACTTCAGTTTTTGCTCCGATTCCTTGCTGATTAGCCAATCAAATCGCAAACAGTCGATTCTTCATGCTGAATTGGGTAAAGTTGCTTCAACGTTAACCTGGTGAGAGGTGATGTGTGGAACACACCAAATCCTCACCAATGTAAGAACACAGGCCAACATCAGTTTGGTGTGTTCCGGCCTTAACAGTTTACCACTACTTAGGATTTCAAACTGTGTTTTTTTTAGCATACTAAACTTACAATATCTTCACTTTAAGTATATCAGGACATTATGTGTTTGTATAATGGTTGGGCGATGTTGGCCAATTTGTTATCGTATGATGTCTAATCTGAACATCACTATGAATGATGGCATCATCATCATAGGCAAATTAATTATTATGATTATATGAATTTGTAGCCTACTGTTTCAACTACCTGACCCGCATGGTCTTTGTTTTACCCATAACCAAATCATAAACAAAATAAAAATAAGCTGCACACAAATTTTTTTGCTAGACTCTGCAATGAATAGGCAGAGTGATCCGAGTCGTTATAATAGAGACGACAAACATGGTTGGTAAAAAAGGTGCACAACCAACAGGAACCAGCCAACAGTACCTGAGGTTTTCGCTAAAATTACTAAGTAAAAGCGTGAAAGCGAAGGATTGAAGCAGCGCATGTCTGTGTGTGTGTGGTCAGGTGATGTGCGTTTTTATCTGTGTACAGCTGTGTAGACGGAGAGCTGACGTCGTTCAGAAATGCTAGGTGAAACAGCCGTTTGGACGTGGATCGTTTTCGTTCTAAAATGCCATTTTAAAACTAAGACATATTAGCGTAAACAGGGCCTAAAGCCTGGTTTATACTTCTGCGTCAAGTGACCGGCGTAACCCACTGCGCATGCAACGCGCGTAACTGTGCATTTACTTCTGCGAGCGGTCTCTGTTGGTCTGCATTAACAATTCCGAAACGCTAGTTGGCCGTGAGGTGTTAATGTTTCTCTGTGTCGATTTTCTTCGCTGCTGTTATGTTTTTTCTGAACACTTCCAGGATGTGCAAGTGGCTCAAATTCGCTCATTTTGAGGCAGGAACCGGCGGATGTGCTACAACTTTAACTATGAGGTAAACACAAAACAAAACTTTACATCCGGAGCTCCTTCACTGGACTCCACACTTGTAAACAATCGCTCCATCAGGCTCGCACCATTCACGCAGCTCTCTGTCCCGCCCAGACTCATCAGCGCTACCAAGCCGACCAATCACAGAGCTTGCGCTACGCGTCGTTGCAACGTGTAGTTACATTTTGTGAGAGGTGCACGTCAGCGACGCCGACAGCCATGGCGAAGGGCTATGCGTCAACGCCGTAGCATACGCCGGCGTTTGACACAGAAGTATAAATCAGCCTTAAGTGTGTATTTTTCTTGAGTGGGTTGCTGCTGTGATGAGGGCGGGGCAAAAGATTGCGATGCCGACTCAGCAACGTGATGTCTCTCAGCGATGGAAGATGTCATTGTCTATTGACCCAACCCTAGTGTGCATAGACAATAACCTACTTTTCTAAACTTAAATGCTATAAAGATTCAAGCAATGACATAATTATCTCATGGGTTTAGACATCACATCAAAAAAAAAAAAAAAAAAAGCTTTGTTGTAGAAACTGCACCACAGTCAGTAAATTCACAAAGCTGATCTTTAAGTGACTGAGAATATAGCAGCCATTAAAATGAGAAAAAAAATTACTCCAAGCCTAGGGACAAAAAGCACACATTGGTCCTTCTTAAGCGCCCAGAGCTCTTCATAAATTAGACACAGTCCAGTGAATGCCAGTCAAACAACTGTGTGGAAAAAAAGCATTACCTTTCTTGGACACTGTTACTAAAAACACAGCGACAGCCATTAAACAGGATTTGGGTGTGTGTGTTTCTAGTGTTGTGGAATTTTGTTGGAGGGTTGCCTGGATTTTTTCTGAATATTTTAGTATAGACCCTGCATGAGGGACAGCAGACTACAGGTCTAGCATGTCTACAAATCAACACAATTGTGACTACCAAGGTGGTGAAATCCCATCTTTAGGCTACAAGAGAACAACAGCATTCAGAAAGAATGAAGATGTTAAATTACACAGGCTAAGAGCAACTTAGCATTTATGAAAGCATTCAATAGAGTCAAGACAAACTAAAAACTGCTCGAACTCAGTGCTGCATTTGACACTGTCGATCACAGCATACTTTTGGATAGGCTGGAAAACTGGGTTGGGCTGGCTGGGACGGTCCTCTAATGGTTTAGATCTTACCTTGAAGGGAGAGGTTACCATGTCAGTATAGGTGACCATAGGTCAAGGTGGACACCCATGACATGTGGAGTCCCACAGGGCTCGATTCTGGCACCTCTCCGTTCAACCTTTACATGCTCCCTCTGAGCCAAATAATGAGAAAGAACCAACCACAGCTAAGCTATCTACTTAGATCTGAGTGATCTAAGATCTACTGCCTAATGACTACAGCCCTATTGACACCCTCTGTCAGTGCATTGACGAAATTAACAGTTGGTTGTGCCAAAACTTTCTTTAGTTAAACAAAGAGAAAACTGACGTCATTGCGTTTGGGAACAGAGATGAGGTTCTCAAGGTGAATGCGTACCTTGGCACTAAGGGTCAAACGACAAAAAAATAAGGTCAAGAATCTTGGTGCGACTCTGGAGTCAGATCTGAGTTTCAATAGTCATGTCAAAGCAGTCAGTAAATCAGCATACTATCATCTCAAAAACATTGCAAGAATCAGATGCTTTGTTTCCAATGAAGACCTAGAGAAACTTGTTCATGCTTTTATCAGCAGTAGGGTGGATTACTGTAACGGCCTCCTCAATGGCCTTCCCAAAAAGACAGTCAGACAGTTGCAGCTCATCCAGAATGCTGCGGCCAGGATTCTGACCAGAAGCAGGAAATCAGAGCACATCACACCTGTCCTCAGGTCTTTACACTGGCTTCCAGTTACACTCAGAATAGAGTTTAAAGTATTATTACTTGTCTATAAATCATTAAATGGCCTAGGACCTTAATACATTACAGATATGCTGACTGAATACAAACCTAACAGATCACTCAGATCTTTAGGATCATATAATCTAGAAGTTCTAAGAGTTCAGTCGAAGCAGGGTGAATCGGCTTTCAGCCACCATGCCACCCGCTGCTGGAATCAGCTTCCAGAAATGATCAGATGTGCTCCAACATTAGGCACATTTAAATCAAGACTGAAAACACATCTGTTTAGCTGTGCCTTTACTGAATGAGCACTGTGCTGCGTCCGACAGATCGCACTATCATGTTTTTCTTTTCTTTTTTATTATCTTATAACCTATTAACACATTTTTAACAGTTTTATTTGTTTTAATCTTATTTTTATAATTCTTATTATTTGTTTTTATTTTCTTTCACATCTCTCTTTTATTCCTGTTTATGTAAAGCACTTTGAATTGCCACTGTGTATGAAACGTGCTATATAAATAAACTTGCCTTGCCTTAAAAATGGGTTAAGACAGTGGTTTGTGGCCTACAACTATATACAAAAGGATATTTAAGAGTATAGCTCAGTTTTTTTTACTGACAGTAATGTGCAACCGTTGATAGTGCAGACAATATGCGTAAAAGAAACATGTTAATCTTTCTTCAGCATTTAAATTTTGACTAAGTTTGTCTTTGTGCTTTTTGAAAGCAGAACTGCAATACTATATATTTTATATCATGACAACAAGGACAACAGTTTGTGCCATCATCAGTAGATGCTGTTTTAGATTTTTTACCTTTTTCAACTTTTCAGCTATGAAAACAACAACACAATTCAATCTTGACACTTTAAAGGTTCACAAAACTCTCGAGTACTTTTTAAAAAATGTTTTAACAGATTTGTGTGTGTTAAGCATCAGTTAAGACAATGTTAGCACCTGTTGGCTTTAATTGTGGGAAAAAGCGGATAGTTTTGAGCTTTACTCAGCTAATTTTAGCTTCCGGGTTTAAAATGGGCAACGTAGCGCAAAACTGCAAGTGCAAAGATGATGCGTTGGTTTCTTATTATTATTCATAGCGGAGTTTTCTTATCCTATGAAAAGACCCGGCTTCTCAATTATTCATGACTGCACGTGCTAAGGCAAGATCAAACTGAACAGAAATCTCCAATACGTCTGTGCCAGAGTGTGTCTTATTACATCTTACAGTGTGATGCATTAATGCATGAGTAAGGCTTGGTTCAAACCAATCAGCGCGCTCTATTGTGCAACTTCATTAATATTCATTACTGTCACAGTGTTTAGACGACAGAGACGCCACGTTGTGTTGGCAAAACAAGTGTGAAGTGTTGCTTTTATAGTTTGCTGCAGTTAAGTTTTGTTTTCATTTTCTCTCTGTGAGAGCTCAGCTGGAGCAACTCGTGGATTAACAGTGTACGCGACGCTCGACAACAATAACTTACGTGTCTAAGGAGGAACATTGTTTACCTGAGAGCTGTTCTCATCTGCAAACGCTGAGATCCGGATTCGCTTGTAGTATTCTCTTCATAAAGACGCGGCTCTAGTTGCTGGTGATTGTCCTGTCTCTACAGATTTGGTAAGTGAGCGACCAGTGCTCTTTGTTTATTCAGTTTGTTCGTATCGAACTAAGTTAACTATTGCACCGAGTGTAAACATGTTAGCACCACAACCAAACTTTAACCTCGTGTAGGGTTTCCACCGCATTTAGTGACCGGAATAACACACGCGGCTTTCTGACACTACCTGCCGAGTGCATCTAAGTTTCTGGGAAATGCGGAGGGTTTTTTTCTCTTATTCGCCGTGCGGTATCAAACATTGCATGAAAAATACACGCTTAGAGCAGTTCCTCGAATCAATTATCTCGTTTGTCGCAAGGGACATGAATGAATTCCCTGAATGAAAGAGCCAAACTGCAGTGAAGTCAACCATTTAATAATTTGGCAAATAATTCGACTACAGATGTCCATGTAGGTTAAACACCATCACTTTCTACTGTGTGTGTGTGTGTGTGTGTGTGTGTGTGTGTGTATTTTGACTCTGAAACTCGCGCGTGCCCAAACAGACACTCCCACACCATCCCACTTTTCTTCCTCCGACACTCCCCCAAACAGAGCTGGACACGCCCACTTTTCTGACTTTTTCCAAAGTAGAGGTGTGAAAACACCCTGCTGAAACGAGGGGGTTTCATGGCCCTTTAACTTGAAGTCTATGATGGTTTTCGTGTTGCCGTTGTGGTTTGTTGCACTTCAAAAACATTGTTTTGCTTTAAATGGCATTAAATAAACTGATTACAGCATTTTAAAACATACTGAACATTATCATTACTAATAATTTCAATAAAGATTACATTATATGCGTTAATATGTAGATTCAGCACAAGCTCAAGTCACATTTCTAAGATAAAGACTTATAGAATTACACTTAAAGTCATATAGTTTGACTAACTAGTAATCACTCTATACATGATGTACATTTAATGTGTATTTAAACTAAATGTAAATAACATGCAATGTTTCCAAAATATTCACTCATTTCTGCTTTATATTCTAAATCACAATTTATTACCTATAGCCTGTATTTTTTTTTACTATGTTTTAAAAGCATGCTGAATTTTACTATTTCAACAAGGATAATATAGATAGTATCCTACATAGTCTAACACACTGCTAACTATGTTCTTAGTGAGGGAAACATTGCAGATATGTTACATATTACAAGGAAGGAAATCAGCTTTATCAGAACTGAATCACCAGATAGTAAGTTTTACATGTTGCCACCATGGTTTGTTATGCTAACGAGCGGCCATGCTTGCTGTGTTTTTACCAATTATGAACTTGTAGTGTTTTGAAAAGTGATAGTAAATACACCTCAAAGAGATATAAACTGAACACAACCATATAGTTTATGAGTAAAGCCAACAAGACGCGACTACACACATGGAGTACAGTGTAGCTCAAATACACAAACTTAGATAGCGTAGCTAAAAAGACTTAGAAAGCCTGGGTATTATAACAAGGTTAAAGTGAAATCTGCACGGTATACAAACATCTCAAAACCTAGTTATCCACCTATCTAGACGGCAATTGTTGGACATCACATGCGCAGTGGGACATTTCTAAACAACACAATAGCTGTTTATTTAGGTGGATCACTGGGTTTTTAAACACAACCCGTCGCTAGTGCTTGTTAGTTTGGGGAGGTGGCGATCAGTATCAGAGTCAGTGATGAATGAAACACGATTAACACGTTTATTCGCATCACTCCCGATGAGCCACGAGGGCCGGTTAAGTTATCAGAGCCGGACTTACCTATCCCGGGAGCCACATAAATAAAGTAGAGGCAGGTCGTGGACATGGAGAAGAAAAAGATGAAGGCCATTAAGGAGCGGTTGGACAACCGCATCAGCCGCCTCCACTTCCACATTGTGTCTCGGCTACTAGCTATCCGTCACTCCCATAAAAACACGCAGATCGCAGAAAAGAGACGCTGTTGGCTGTGCTGAAAACGGTCATCCGGGTGGGAAATGCGGTGCTAAATCAGGCTGCTGGTAAAGTCCGCATCGTTCATTCAGCTGGATGCAAGGCCGCAGTGCTCGCTCGCTCTCCCAACAAAGTCAAGAAATTTCCAGATCGAAAAATAAATAAATAATAAAACGTGCTACATCAAACGCCGTCCGTGCTCGGCGGGCGGTCAGCGCGATGCATTTTGTCCGGTGCTGAGGCTGCTTGAGTGTTCCGGTGTGTTTCTAGTGTAGGCAGACACGCCTCGTCGCGTTGATGATGATGATGTTTGGAAATGATGAAGGGAGTGAAAGTGATGATGATGAGGGACCTGCCCTTCCTCCCTCTTCCCCCCTTTTTCTCTCGGTGTGAAATCCCCCCCACGCTCCAGGGAACGCTTCTCCGACACGGCGGCGAAGAAAGGCGCTCGGGCCGCAGAGGACACCGCGATGACCGGGAAGGGAGTGGGAGTGGGAGAGCCGAGAAACGTGACGGATCTCGACCGGAATTCCTCCGATATCGGTTCTGCTGTCGGTGCAGGTGCAGACACCGTTTCCGGTAGGCGTGACTAACAAAATGGCTGCCAGTAAAAAGCGTCATCATCGTGGTTTACGCTTGAAGACAGTTTTCAAAATAAAAGTCATACAACGTCAGAATAAGGGCGAGGGATAGGGAAAAACGTTAGCTCATACAGAGGTTAATATTCATTCTGGCTGGTTTTAACCATCCTAACTTTTTTTTAAACACACTTGATAAACGTAATCTCATAAACTACTCTAAGCCACGTGTTTGTGATAGAAATATTACAAGCATGTGGTGAGAATGTTAAAATTAGTATATCCAACCTTTAAAAAAAAAACTAACTATAGTTTTACTACAAATTAAAAATAAATAATAATTTCAAAACATGGTAATTGTAGTCTAACCATGGTAGCTACAAACTGGGCAAATCCATTGTAATCTATTGAGAGTAAAACTGGTTTAAAATGGTATTAAATCTTCCAAAATGGTTGTTACTACACATTTACTATACTGGTTAATATTTGTAATGGAGGAAGCAGCTGAACACATTAACAGCTTGGAACTTGGACTTCAAACTTATCAACAAAATAATTGCTGACTAAGTGGGTTGCCAACATAGCCAGAAAGCACTGAAAGCACATTTCTAATTGCCTCTGGCTGTCTCTCAAATCCTAGCTGAAACCTAGCAAAATCTAGCTGTGTAACTAGAAAACATTATTAACTGCACACTGGTGCATGAAGGATTACTGTGCATCAATTTAAAGAGTGTTTAGTTCACTGTGTTTTTGAACATCACCGGGCAGATCACAGGGTTTTTGAACATAGCCTATTTAGATAGTGTTAACATGAACAATATTTTCAAATTGTAAGTATTCCAAACCTGCTTATTAGACTAAAATTGGCATTAATTATTAAACAGTAGTTAACCTGGAGCTAAAAAAAAAAAAAAATCTTTTACCTAATTGTACTGGTAACAGCATGATGTGTTTGAAATATAATCTACTCTACCTATTTTTTGTGCTCCTAAAAATTGCATTTAAACACATTATAAATCATTACTTTTAAACTATGAAATTACATATAATTAAATTACGTGTTAACTCTCAATATTATTAATATATTTCTAAACATATTTAAGCCTGTAGTTTTAATTTAAAAAATTACTAGTAGTTAAATTATATGAGGATTAATTTTGTATAATTTTTAGGCTGAAGATGTGTCATGATCATTAAAATTTAGTGTGTCATGTTGCATAATTAAATAAAAAAATCTCCTCACACATATTTTGCATGTAAAAAGTAAAACTCAAGCATGCAATAATGTCAGAGGCAAAAATCACTGTATTTATTATCGTTTGAGTTTCACCGTTTCTCTTTAGTAAATCTCTACAGTAATCGAAGTAGTAATAAAGATGTCATAACTTAATAATATAAATTTTTTATATATACATACATATATATATATATATATATATATATATATATATATATATATATATATATATATATATGTGTATATATATATATATATATATGTATATATATATATTTATAATTTATATATATATGTATATATATATGTGTGGGTGGGGGGGAGAGGGAGAGAGAGAGAGAGAGAGAGAGAGAGAGAGAGAGAG